AGAAGAAAAAAAGGACACACTCAACGGATGGCAGGACCCCGAATCGAACGGGGACTTCCGAGGTATTATGCAAACATCGCGCCTCACGGGTGCACCTTGCGCCTCCCTGCCTTGTCTGCACTATCCAGATCCTGCATATGCACGGATTGGGTTTGAAAGTCAATTCTCTCGCTCGCAGGGACAGGATCCACTCCCTTCCGCTGCCAGGGAAGGAAGCACAACGTCGCCTCCGACTGCTCAGATTTCTAGCTCAGGGAGGAATCGAGATACATATGCACGGCATACGATTGGTTGTTCTGTAATGTAAAAATCGAATCGATGCTAGCGCGCTGCTAGTATTTCGCGAGAGGAAACCAGGGGGAAATCACTGACGCCCCATACAAGCAACGAAAGCAAGCTAGCGAAAACGAAGATAAAAAAAGGTACATAGCAAGAGCCGTTGAGCAGAACAGCGGATTCCCCGCCCGCGGGAAGGAGAGGGGCTGGAGGGGAAGGAATAGAATGATAGATTGGTCGAGTAAGTCCCCAGGGCCGCCGGATCTGATACTAGCCCGACACTGCTTGGCGACACGGCGTCACGATACTGTCCACGCCCACATACACGAAAGAAAAGAATTAATAATAAAAGACATTGCGACACGCGAGGGAGATGTATATCGACAAGGAGGCGTGGCAACGCCAGCTGCTATCCCTGACCTCCAGCTCCAGGGTGAGGGGAAGACGGCTCGTCGTGTGTCGTACTGGTGCAGCTCCTGCTTCCAAGGCTTTTGGGTAGCCCCCCTCCCTGGGCACACCCTGGTCCTTCACCACGGGTACCAGGAGCAGGTATCCCGCGGGGGGCCGAAGATCACGGGAGGAGACAAGCCGAAAGAAAGGGAAATGGGGTCGAAGAGGGGGGTGATTCGTGAGGACGGCGGTGCGCAGGATAGGGAGGACGGGGATGGAAGGGTCGGGGATCTGGGATCGGGAGCGGGGGGGACGAAGGGGTGGATGTAAGGGGTGAGAAGGGGCAGCGAAAGAACAGAACGGAAGGAGGGAAGGAATGGATAAATGGCGCAGAGGAAGGAGGCGGGGATGGACAACAAGATATGAATGAAGGCCAAATTGCTCGGTGGGTGGACGAGAAGCATGCGAGGTGTCGATCTCGTGCTGCGCGTGTGGGGCGAAAATGTAGCTCAGGAAGCCAAAGCAGCACCAAGAGAGAACGCACACGCGATCGAGCATGCACCTGGTGAGTACGCGCGGAATCGTAGACGCCTCAAGGTGTACGCCTCAAACCCGGTACTAATAAACGATGGATATGCAGAGCTGCTTCGAGAGATAGACGAAGGGCCGAGATCGAGCGCACCGGGAGTCAACCCCCCCCGCCGCACCCAGACGCAGAACGGGGTACGCTGCACCCACCCCGCCGCCCACACTCCCACATCGCCCATAGCCACGCTCGCACGCCCACATCCCACATCATCATGTGCATACCCGCCGCCCCCGCACCACATCGAATGGGGTCAATCCAGCGGCGTCGCGAGCACACGGGGGGGGGGCAGATGCGGTGTAGGTGGCGTGTTGCATGGGGCAGGCCGACGGACGGAGGAAGATGCGCACCACCCGCTCCGCGCGCGACCACGCGCGCTCGCACGCCCGCATATCATCATGCTCATGCCCGCCGCCCGCGCACTACAACAAGCACACCTCACGCGCGAAAGTTGTACCCCACGTCCCCACTCGACCGTCACACCCACGCACCCTCCTCGAACGTCGCGTCCCGGTCTTGTACCAGATCATATCCCCGGTCCCAGGTGGCGTGGTCGACGCTCGACTCCCCAACGCGTTCGCCCTGCATTACCGCAAGAGCCGACACGGTCTCCGTCGTCATCGCACGCCGCACGTCCACCCGTCGTGCCCGCATACTCACCCGTCGTCGCCTCCTCACTCGCCCACTCGTCGTACGCCGCACGTCGTCGCGAGCGCCGTCCCGTCCCGTCGTCTTCCCCACCCGTCGTCACCGCACCCCTGCACGTCCACCCGTCGGGCCCGCACGCCGCACGCCCCCCGGTCGTACCCGCACACTCACCCGTCGTCGCCTCCGACACGCTCTCCCGACACGGCCTCCCGCCCACCCATCGTCGCGAGCACACGCCCAGGCCGCGGTGTAACGGGCCACGAGGAAATGAAACGAGCACGCGGCCGATCTGAAGCGAAAGCACCCCCACGAAGTTTCGGCTTCTTCGCACGATCGGGCGTCGCGGTGTACGGGCGTAATGACGGACGGGAGGAAGATGCGGCGCCACGCTCCATGGGCACTGCGTGGGGACGGAGCGCGCAGCCAGCGACAGTGGGATAAGAGTCGCGGGGCGCGCGTCACGGTGTGCCCAAGAGCACGGTCGGTGCGGGCGCGCACGGCGGGCAGGCTACGCTCCCGCGCTTTGGATATGCGGCCAGCCCAGAGACAACGAAGGCGTGCAGGGGCGGAGTCGCGCAGCCAGCGACAGTGGGATATCAGACTTGCGGCGGCGCGCGTGGTGTGCTCAAGGGAACAGTTGGTGCGGGAGCGCCGTGGTGGGCAGCGGGGGCGCCGGTGCGGGACGACAAAAGCGTGGTGGAGGAGCGCATCGTCCGTGGCGGGACACGGCGAGGGCGTGCATGCAGCGACAGTGGGAGGATCAGGTTCGACTCGCGAGGGCGGAGGGCGCGGTGTGCCCAAGAGCACGGTCGGTGCTGGAGTGCCGTGGTGGGCAGCGGGGCGCTCAGCGCGGGACTACAAAAGCGTGGCGGAGGCGCACATTCCCCGCGCCCTGGATATGCGCCATGACGTTGCGTGGGGACAGAGCGCGCAGCCAGCGACAGTGGGATAAAAGTCGCGGGCGCGGGCGCGGTGTGCGGTGTGCCCAAGGAGGAGCGTACGGTGGGCAAGTAACGCGCCAGCACTGTGGTGGGCGCGAGACGCGGGACGACAAAAGCGTGGCGGAGGAGCTCATCGATCCCCCGCGCCCTGGATATGCAGCCAGCCCAGAGACAGCGATGGCCAAAGCGAGAGGGAGATCATACTCCCGGGTGCGGTGTGCGGTGTGCCCAAGGGGGAGCGTACGGCGGGCAAGTTACGCGCGACGAAAGGGCGGAAGAGAACATCCCCCGCGCTCGGACCGGACGCGGCGACGGACGCGGACGCGGTGGACGATGCTCCACACGCACACACTCGGACACAGTATGCAGGGTGCGCGACATTGGCGTCGAAGCATCCCCCGCGCCCGGATACAGCGCAGGCGTGCATGTAGTGAATGGGATCAGACGAGGTGCGGGAGCGTGTGGCGAGCAGGTTACGCTCCAGCACCAGGACACAGCAGAGGCGTGCAGGCAGGTGATGCGCCTGGACGTAGCGAAGGTTTCTCAGCGCGGGTAGTGCATGGAGCTGTGACGCCCCCGCATACTAGGACCGCGCAGCGAGGCCAGCCGCGTTCATCCAGATTCAGGGACGGCGCTCCGGTATGTACTAGACGGCGCGGTCTGGGAGTATTGTGATTAGTATGCCTGTAACTCTGTACCGAAAAATTGAATACACCTTGTTATTCACGCGAGTGGGTATATAGTTCCGACATCGTGTAGCGTGTGTGTGCGAGACGGGGCGGAGACGGGGTTGTGCGTGTGCAGCAGGAGGGGAAGGGCAGACGCGGAAGGAGGGGGACGGAGAGAAGCGACGGCGACGCGGTGATACAGCTGAACCATGGTAGCACCAGTAGAGCCCCTAGATTTCCAGTGTCCATGGAACCCTGCCACAGTAGAGCTGTGGTCGCGCTCCGGCAAAAAGACGAGCAAGCCAAGAGATTTCGAGCTCAAACGTGATTGGTCATCCGGGGAGTGCCGGCTGCTCTCTCCTCACCGTCTCTCGCGATCCACTGTTTAAACGTTTACCCACTGTTCGACGTACCGCTTACCAGTGGAAGCGCGGATCCTCCTGCTCCTCGCCCCCTAAGCAAGAATCTAACAGGGGAAAACAGGGCAGGAAGGCGCACGGTGCGCATCGGGCGTTTGTGGGCCCAGTCATTCGCAATAACCCGAACGTCCCCGTTCGACTCGGGGTCCAGCCGTTCGCCGGTCGTTCAAAAGTTTTTTGCTCTTCTTTCATTGCTCCATTCTTTTTGACTTCATACCTTCAAGATAGGCTTCAGACTATATGTGTGCATAATGGGTGAGTTCCATTAGGGCACTTGTTCTTCTCAGTGGTACTTCTTTCCACTGAATTCGTGATTTTTTCCCCTGGTAATAGATCTGAACGCGGGCGGGCCTGAATCTTCCTAGGTACTGAATACTAGAAATAAGGCAGGAAGGCGCAGGGTGCGCATTGGGCTTCTGTACACGAATCTCTAGCTATTGAGCAACCCGAAGGTCCCCGTTCGACTCGGGGTCCTGCCATGAGTCGTCGGTCAGAGCCAATTTTTTCTCTTCTTTCCTTGCGTCCTTCTTTTTGACTTCATACTTTCAAGACAGGCTTCGGACTACATGTATGCTTCCTTCCATGCATCGTTGCGGTGCAAATGGTGAGTTCTATTTACTTGTTTATCCCCAGCGGAACTTTGTTCCATTGAACTCGTGATTTTTTTCCCCTGGTAGATCTGAACCCAGGCGGGCCTGATTTTTCCTACATCTATCCAGGACCTAGGTAGTAGGAGGAAGGCAGGAAGGTGCAGAGTGCGCATCGGGTTTGTGTGTGGGGTTGGTTTTAAACACGCAATAGCCCGAAGGTCCCCGTTCGACTCGGGGTCCTGCCCTGCATGCCTCGAAGCCAATTTTTGCTCTTCTTTTGTTGCGCCGTTCTTTTTGACTTCATACCTCAAAGATAGGCTTCAGACTATATGCATGCGTAATGGTGAGTCCCATGGGGCACTTGTTATCCTCAGTAGAATTTTTTACATGGACTTTGTGATATTTTACATTGACAAATCTGAATTTGCCCAGACAGGCCCAATTCTTCCTGCATCTATCCAGGTATTGAATACTAGAAATAAGGCAGGAAGGCGCACGGTGCGCGTTGCGCTTCGGTCAGAGCTCCAGCTATTGAGTAACCCGAAGGTCCCCGTTCGACTCGGGGTCCTGCCGTTGTTTGGCGGTCAGATGCAAATTTTTTCTTCTTTCGTTGCGTCCTTCTTTTTGACTTCATACTTCCAATATAGTCTTCAAACATGCATGCTTCCATGCATCGTTGCGGCGCAAATGGTGAGTTCCATTTAAATCATGGTACTTGTTACCCCCAGCGGAACTTCTTTCCACTGAACTCGTGATTTTTCTCCTGGTAGATCTGAGCGCAGGTCGGCGTGATTTTGCCTGTGTCTATCCAGGAACTGAGAGGTACGAGGAAGGCAGGAAGGCGCAGGGTGCGCTTTGGGCTTCTGCGCAGGAAGATGCCATTTGAGCAACCCTAAAGTCCCCGTTCGACTCGGGGTCCCGCCATGTGGTGAAGTTCAGAACCATTTTTTGCTCATCTTGCGTTGCGTCGTTCTTTTTGATTTCATACTTTCAAGACGGGTTTCGGAGTATATGCATGCATAATGGTGAGTCCCATTAGGGCACTTGTTCTTCTCAGCGGAATCTTCGACACTGACTCAATTGATTTTTTGTTTTCACTAACAAATCTTAATGCAAGCGGGCCTGATATTTCTGCATCTATCCAGGACTGAATACTAGAAATAAGGCAGGAAGGCGCAGGGTGCGCATCGGGTTTACCTCGCATCTTTCTGAAGGTTTAACCCGAAGGTCCCCCCGTTCGACTCGGGGTCCAGCCGTTCCGAACGATGGTGGGTTTTTTTTTTGCTCTTCTTTCGTTGTGTCGTTCTTCTTGACTTCTTACTTCCAAGAAAGGCTTCAGACTATATGCATGCATAATGGTGAATTCCATCCATTATGGCACTTGTTCTTCTCAGTGGAATTTTTTACATGGACTCTTGATTTTTACGCCAACAAATCCGAACCCATGTGGGCCTGAATCTTACTACATCTATCCAGGACCTAGGTGGTAGGAGGAAGGAAGGAAGGCGCAAGGTGCACGCTGAGTTCTGTTGCACTCGCAATCGATAAGCAACCCGAAGGTCCCCCCATTCGATTTAGGTTCTGCCATTTCCAGCCAGGCACTAGAAAAGAAAAACAAATTATACTTCAAGCAGGATTATGTATTTGAATGAAAGCTGGGCTACACATACGATATTACAGAGAGAGAGGTCGAATTGTCGCTGGAGTAAGTGCAGACGTACAAGACACCGAGGATATCGTCCAGAGCCATGTTGCTAAGCGGCTCAATGTCAACAGTGGACGTGTCCAACTGGTGGAACGTGGTATGCGGTATCGGATGTGTGTGATAAGTTACGAGTCCAATTTTGGCAATGTCATCCTGCAGCTCTGTGATCAAAGCATACCTGCCCGAGGATCCCACATACGTCGCGTAAATCCGCCTGGGATGCTCGTAGGAACCCAATTGTTCGAATTCCAACTGCGCTCTATGGTCCGCTTCGACGGCGGGCCAAAAGTATACGGCGTGAGTATGGGTACCGGAGGTGAGAGAATGTGAGCCGCGCGTTGTAACATTTAAAACCCCGTATCTGGGGGAACACATGTGGCTTCGATCGAGATAAAGGTCGAAGAAACCGCCACTTGACAAGCGGGGTACGTCGCGGGTAACGATCTGCTCTTTGGGAGGGGCGGTATCAACATTGATATGGGAGATTTCAACCACTCGAGTTTGCGGGTGCTGAGCTGCGACATAAAAGTCGCCCTGGTGCAAGATGCACCCGAATGATAATTGACGGGATACGAAGGTGTTGGTGGGCATTTTGAGCGATACACGACCGACCACATCGTCCGCAAATTTGCAGTACAGCAAAGATGCCGTGTGATGGCTGCGGTTTAAGACAGTCATTCCGATCATCTTTTGGTCCAGGGTAATGCCTGAGATGGCGAGTAAACGGACATCGGGAGAGTTCCAGATATTTGAATAGATTCTCGACACGGTGATTTGCGCCGGGTTTTGATAATCGACACAGATCACAGCAAATTCAAGCTGATCACTGAATGAAGCTTGAGATCGCGCACGAACGACCTGGAGAGCGTAATTACCTGCTTTTGCGAAAAATCAACGCAAAAGAGCGTCGTCCCGGCTGGTCAAACGTCGTCCGCCCCATTTGCGTCGGAACATCAGGCAAAAGGACTTCGCCCAGGCACATACCAGAGATCGTATCCCAGCAGGAGAATCTTTCCCGGTCCTTGGTGATAACCATATTGGTCCCATGAATGGCATACAGTTCATGAGAGTGAACGGAGGGTCCCATGTTCAAATTGATTTCGCGCACTGAAACGACCGCTGGGTTGCTTCGAGCCCAGTTTCGCATCAGTGCATACGCATGCCTGGCCATTTGCTGAAGTGTTCGAAGAGGTAGATTCACGATATCGGTGCCTAGAGCGCAAGGTATTGGTCTCTTGTGGACAAAATATACCCGTTCTAGGGCTTTCAGCCAGAAGTCTCTTGATGAGGAAAGAGTTTGTAACGCGGAGCACGTCTACTGCGGCATAGATCAGCGACCGGTCAGGGTTTCAGGTGCCCATACCGCAAGAAGACGAAGAGAGTCTTGAAGATCCAGCAGGTGGGTAACGTCGAGAATGACATCCAACGGAATCTCAGCAATGCACATCGTGGTGGTAGAGCGAGCGAGCGATGGTAGATACCCGATGATCCGAACGAATCCGATAGTCCGATCAAATATTTTCGAGACCGACTCAACCAAGATTTGTTGAAATGTTGAAGGCCCCAAAAGATGTTATGTCCCCAGAAGATATCTGAGCACAAATCATTCCACATGTCCACATCGATTCTGGCTTAACACACTAGGCTAGTAACATTTGTATGTAGCGCGCTGTCTGGCTCTCATCGCCAACGTGGGTCAGATTTCAAGTTCAACCGAATATAACATCGGAAAATAGTATTAAAAAATCTGCGCCTCTCGTATTTCATTCAGCATTTATCAGATACATAAATCCCCGGAGTTTCAACAACAATATGAAAGTAAATCCAAGTTTCCAAAATATACCTAAATAAATAAATATCACCTATCCGTTATATGGCTTGATGATTCAGAGGCATCTGAGTTCCCTTCTCCCGCTCCGCTAGCACAATCGGGCGTTGAAGCGACGTGGCGCTTGTCCGTCCAATGGACCCCTTTGGATGGACATTCTCAAACAGTGAACGCGCGCACTAGACTGAAAAGGAGCGCTTTCTGCTCTATAATCGACAGCCGAAATCCGATACAGCTGTGCGAGCCGGCGTAGAAAGTGAAGGTATTGGCGTATACAGACGGGATGCTGCTGACCGCCTTGGGGAGATTATCCCATCGGTCGGGCCTACCGGGACGGCGTCAGAAACACGATAGGGGCGGAAAAAAAAAAGGGCGCACTTGAACTCTTCAGCGTCGTCTCCCCAGAGAGCCTTGTCGACGTTCACTGCCCTCAGAGGGATATGGATCATCTGCCCCTTGCGAATTCTACCAATGTATAATTGCCGTAAGCCTATATTTTAGTTTAACAAGGTCGCAAAAACGTACGGGATGCTCTCGTGTACTCTGCCCTTCTTGTCCACGAACGGTTCGCTGAGGGGCAGAATATCGTCTGCCATTGCCATGCGCCCGGTGTGCTCCACAGGGGGGTAGAGCCGCATCGTCTCTCGTACCTGGAGAAGAGTCAACCCCACGGCCCAGAGTTAATGAAATTGTCTCGCGTACGACGTTCTCGAGGTAGGGCAACGAATTCAATTCATCATAGTTCGGGCTCTCAGATCGCGCGGACAGGAGTTCCTGGCGCAGCTTATCTTGGATTTCATGATTCAATGACAGTGCGTGGAGCGCCCAAGCCGTCCCGGTACTGTTACGCGGAAATAAAATAAAATAAAATTAGCGAGTCGCAGTCAACATTACAGAAAATGAGTATCACCTTGTGTTTTCATGCCCAGCGATTACAAATGTCGGAACCTCTGAAGCGGTGTAGGTGCAGTGAGAATAAAGGGATGGAAGACGCTGATACAAAAACTCACGAGCGATGACCTCGTCGTCGGAAAGCCGTTGATTGTCTGGGAGGTCACTGACCATGTTCGCTTTGATTAAAACAGACAGCAGATCCCGTCCCCCAGAGATATTCTTGTCGCCAGCAGCCTCAACATACGCCTTGCTCTCTGCCATCAGTCTCGCACCAATGTCAAACAATCTGCGCTTGGAAGCCTCGAATACTTGTGTACCGGGCATGGGCTAGGCGGACAAGGAAGAATTAGAACCATTCATATTTTCGGTGGCGCAGTAACTTACCACAAGTCGCAGAATTGGGAACGTCGCCTGAGCATACCGAACTACAAAACTGCTTTGTGAGCTCGCAGAGTGCAAGAGCTTGGTCATCGCCGTCATGAGTTCAGATGGCTTCCCGTTTGGATCCAGGGAGTTGAAGGCATAATTGAATCCTAAGTTACATGGAATAGGAATTAGGTTTCGTATAATATTGTCAGTGATCAAGTGACTGACCCAGTTCGCCGATGCTATCTAGGGTCATTTTTCTTATCCAAGGCAAGACGTCCATGCGTAACACGTCGTGGTTGTCGGAAACCTGCGCAGCCCAGACATCTCGAAGCTTAAAACGTGGGCTTGAGATTTACGAACGCAAAATTGGGAAGACCACACACATGATCAGCGTGTCGCACGATTATTGGCGTCAGGTCTCGAATCTGTCGGACGGAAAATGCGGGAGTCTGCGGAATCTAATTAGGCAACGGATCTCAGTCGAGGTTAGTAGCTTGCCATTATTCTTCTCTGAAGGCGGGTTCAATCAAAAGCACGGTCGTCAGATTATTCTGCGCAGACTTACTTGCCGTTTATGATCATCGAGTTCAACGACCATTATTCCTGTACCAAAAAATGAATATAATAATAGAATGGCCAAGTTGCATAACCTACCCTGCCCAGCAACTCGACCGGTGTTATATCTGGAGGCAGGCGCCTTTTGATATAAAACAGTATTGAATGCGATATGGGTCAAGGCCTTCGGGTCGGACGTGTGCAGCTCTCGAACCTGGATAA